AAAAAAAAAAAAAACACGTACATTGATGACTTATATAAATGACTCATTGAAGTGTATTATCGATGAATATATTAAAGATAACGTGCACAAAGAAAAAAAACAGTATAAGAGATATATGTTTTTATAATAGTAAAACTAATAACTGTAAAGAATCTACACACGTACATGCGTATTATTAACTTGTCGTTATGTTTATATTAATCAAATAAATATGTTTACACTGATTCTCTCTCGCGCTAATAAAAAGTTGTCCAGTATCCTTATTGATTACGTAAACAAAGAATAGAGATAATCGACCGAAATATGTTCTGCCGTGGCCAGCGTATTACCGATCTTACTACGACAAGATTATCTAGTTTTGCGTTTAATCGTGACGTTGCAATTAGGCCGCAGCGTATTTACTCATTCATGCTTAATCGCGCAGCCGCGATTAATAAGCAGGCGCGATAATAAAAGCAAGTCGAGGCGGAGGTCGCCCTCGCAAATTGACACAGATCGTTAATTGCTGCGACAAACGGGGCCGTTGACCGTCTCTCTATCTTAATCCAAAAATAGTATATCCAAAATAAACTTGAGAATAAATGCTCCGACACAGAATAGAACGGAATAGAAATACGGAGAAATCGTGCGACAGAAAAGCGTAAATGTTGGAAATAATATGATAATTATAATTCGGAAGTAACGATATATACAAATTAATTCAAATTATATTAAAAATTATATTCTACTATAATTACATAATTTCCCACATCATCCATCACTTGGACGTAGTCAGCAATTTTTTCCTCAATTGATCTCTGACGTTACTCGAAAGTATAAAGAGAAGGCCGTGTAATCTGTCTTTCTTAGAATGCTGCGTATTAAAAGCTTGGCTGAGCTTGTACAACGTGATTCGGTACGCGTGGCATATTACAAAACGGCCAATGCATCCCGAGCCAATATTATTTTCATAACTGCGTGGGAATAATTCTCAAAAGTGTAGAAAGAGAGAGAGAGAGAGAGAGAGAGAGAGAAAGTGGCATGTTGTTACGCCGTTATCAAACAGACGTTTTCGATGCATTTAATGTACCAATACGACGATTTTATCCGTAACCAAGTCGTTTATCATACGCCGACCCGCTGATGGAAATCATTATTCCCTTCGTTATCCCCCTCAGCAACGATCTAACTCGATAACGATCGCGATAAACGAAATAATCCTTTGTTGCAGACGAGCATAAATAATCAGACATTATCATGCGGCAGGTTGTGTGAAATAATTGTGTGAGGCTAACTTTAATTTTTTAGCCTGTATGCAAAAACAAATTTTTTTTTCTGATATTATCAATAAAATATAAAATACATAACAATTACTGTCTTGGTACATATGATGGATACTGTTTCAATTTATTATTTCCATATTAATCCGCGTAAAATAACAATGTTATAAATTAACAGCTTAATCGATTTAAAATCTCACTTATAAATTTTGTGATAAATTTTTAGTCGATGTTGGATCGATTCAACGAAAATATTGAGCAAAATTATTTTATCGCAAATATATCCAACATTATTATATTATACAGATTCTCTCTATCAAGTTAAAATTCTATTAATGTAAAGTCCATATAAAATCTCAGCCAAATATAGTTATCCGACAAATATGATTATTGTAATCCGTCTCTCTATTTAAAGAAATTTAGTTTGCAAAAAGTTTTCTTTTTCAAACGTTCTTTTAACTGCGAATACTATTGTCTATTCTTGCTAACAAAACGTCAAATTTATATATCTATTAAAATTAAAATCGCGGGAAACACTACCATATGACATTCGGAACAAAGTAAAGATGAGCGTTTGTTCAAACAGAGCAACGGGAGCATAAAAAAAGTGTACGTTTGCATCATGCACGCGTGTTGCGTACGCATTAGAGGGAGAGCTTGGCCGAGTTTACCATCGGGTCAAACTCGTGCGCGTCAACCCACACCCCCATGTACTGCGCGCGCGCATTTCATTGTATATATGTAGATATTATTTTCGGCGCGAGTTGCAGTCATCTAGGATGAGTTTCCACTCGTAATTCCAAAAAAACTTTCGAGCAACGCACATAATTCAACGCAACGGGTTTCATGTCCGCCGCACTTTTGCAATTTGTTTTTTTGATGGAGCCTTGGATTCACGCTATATCAAAATGATTTCTTATCAAATCACAAAGACATAAGCAAAATAAGTATAAGTAATAAATATATATATATATATATATATATATAAAAATACTGCAATACATTTGATGTTTCCAACATCCAGTTGAAAACAACAAATACATTGCACACATATAATCCATATTAAAGTGTTTTAAATATTGAGATATATATTAATACTAATTTATACAAGTTTGAAAATACAATATAATATGCTAAAAGCAAAATGCTATATATATATATATATATATATATATAAAAATATGTAAATTGTATACATGTATATATTTTTATTTTTCTATTGCTATCTGAATAGTGATTATTTGAAACAAATAGAGAGAGAAGAGAAACTGATGTACAGATAAATCAAGGATGAAAAAAATGTACAAGTATATAATATATATATATATATGCATGTACTTTGTAAATTATTTTTCATTCCTCGCGATTTATCTGTACATCAGTTTCTTTCTTTTCTCTCTTTCATTTCAAATAACCACCATTCAGATAGTGAGAAAATACATTGTTGCAAAGATATACAATGTATGCGAATTACCTTTGCAGAGCCAGCTTGATGTCGAAGGTGATGGTAGTGCCAGTATCAACGTGGAAGATGTAGAGCATCGTGGAGCCGGTTAAATGACCAACGACAGAAATGTGTTTGCTGGAATACCTCAATGTATCTGCCGTCGTGGATCCCTTCCTTCTGGCACGAGTCCCGTCAGCAGCAGGAGGCCCACGGGCCTCGACGGTTCCCCTAGTCAGCTCGATCGGGGCCGTACCCCACGTTCCTGGTCGTTCGCGAGGACGGCCCCCCCGGGACTATGCCGCATCGATCAACACGATTCTCGATGTCGATCTCGAGACGAAATCCCACTACATAAAAATCGTCCCACGTCGTACAGTATCATCCAGATTTCTCGAGAGCTCTGAATCAATTGTTTCGTAGCTGCCGAAAGATCCTCGAGGATTTTCTCCTCCTGATCGTCGAGAGAGAAATTCGAAACGGCAACGTCTTCTCCACTATGAGTGTCGTTTTCCTCCTCGTTCCCTTTTACCACTGCAGGAAAAGCTAATTGTTCGAAAGACTGCGGGCCGAAATAAACAGCGGGAGGTCGTTTATGGTTCGATCGACCATTCGCCCGTTCCAAACACTAGCTTCTACCTGTAGAGACGAGAAACACCGGTCGATGACGTAGCCTCGTGCACCTTTGTTATAATCTTCATGCAACGCACTTCGTGATTTATAAACGTTTTACGTCATCAGCCCAGTTTATCGAGCGGTCGTTTTAAATGCAACGAAGACGTAATTTAAACATCACAGTACGTTTCCTTTGGATTTCCTTGAGAAATCTGTAAGAGAGAAAGCGAGTTTCCATATAGACGATATTTTCGTCAAACTTGAAATATTAATATTGATTTCGTTTCTACGTGAAATGAAATCATTTACAAAAATCCCTCCGGCAACGCGGAAAGTCCGTTGGCGATCGATTGGCGACAATGGAGCCAGATGCTGTGTCTCGACTTGTGTATACGTTCAGATGTATCGAATCAATCGGCTCTGGTGATGCGACGTAGCTTTTCCGGGGTTCGGTGAAAATGCATACGGTCCACACACGCGCGCGCGCGCGCACGCACGCACACAAACGGCCGATTTCTTTGGCGTCGGAGATAAGAGCGACGCGTTGTATCGCGTTTACCGTCACGTCGTAGCCAGCCGCCTCGGATCAGCTGCTCGGCAAAACAAAGCACTCGCGCGCCGCGTTACGCGACCGCGTCCGCCGCGCTCTCTCGCTCTTCTCCGTCCGTCTGTCCGTCCCGTCCGTCCGTCCTTCCTTTTTCCTCGTTTCCTCGATTCACGATGCGAGCGACACTGTCGTTCACAAAGATCTCTCGTTGTGTTGTAAAAATTTACGCGATTTATAGCACAATGCACAACGTAGATTGAATATTAATAGCCATGTATTATTGGCTACTGTCCCGTCTTACGCATGAGGGACGACGAAAGTACCTCGGCCAACCGCGCGACACACACAACACACAAACGATGCTGCGCCACCACCACCGCAATCTATGCGCAGATCCGTCGCGTCGCGTCCCGTCCCGTCGCACCGAACAAAGAAACTCGGCTTTCCCCACGGCTTTTCCACAACGACGCAACTCGCTCGGCTTCCTCTCGCACTACGCCACTCTCACTTCACCGAGACGAATCCGCCAAAGATTGGTTGGACAGTGGCCAAGAATGCGTCGGTCGAGGATATATAATTAGACGCGAAAAGAAAAGGGTAGAGTACGTAGGAGAGACTGGCAACCACAGACGACCCAGCTCCGAACGGTCCCGTTCAACGTTTTGCACTAACCAGCACTAACACAGAGCGTCGCCAGCTGTTTACCGTCGAGCCGCGAGCGCGTCGAGTCGAGGCGACGAGCGACGAGGGGAGCCGAACATATCCGAGCACGGCGGACAGAACGACCGAAGGAGCAATGGTAGGAAAAGAGATCCCAATCGTCGCCGGCGCGCATGCGCGATACACCATCGACTGGTGGTGTGGCGTGCTTGGTGCTTGGCTTGACGTTTCACGTCACGTCGTTTTGCGTCGTTTCGCCAGTGCCGGATAGTGGTGCAGGTAATGGAGAACAAATTTTCTCCTTACTACATATTTTTCTAATCGTCTATGAGGAAAGGAGAGAAGGAGAAAATGTTTTAACCCATCTTTGCCTTTTAATCTTATGAATATTTAATCTTACTTTTTTTCATGTAAATTGACGACTGTCTCTCTCTTTTTTAAAGCTTTTGATATAAAAAAAAAGGGCAGATTATATCTTTTCAACGGTAGGAAGTCCTTTCTATCGAGCTTCAAAAAAAGAGAGATAAGCTTGTAAATTTACATAAAAATATAAGGAATCTTGTATATGTTTACTAAAGACGATCAAGGGCGACCGTGAGAGTAAAAGTTATCTCGCGTGAATGTGGCAGAGTTTTTGGCGGTCGCGACGCATTCACGGCGCATTTGATGACGCGAACAACTTCACAACTAATTAGAATACAATGATGAGTCTAGTCTAGACATACTGAATTTAAATTTGAATATGTAAGCGTAGCTTACTGCGTCGCGAATAGCTCCGACGCAGTAAAGGCCAATCTTGGCGTTATAATTGCACGTATAGCGTACAGCACGTGGCTGCTGATAAAGATTGTTGAGTTTGTGCGAAATGCGACGTACTAGAAGAACTGCGCACACGTAATGAAGAGCAATCGCGTAGATGTCGAGAACGATTCTTTCATAGACGAAATCATTTTCTTTTCGGTAAATCGTCAAATGTACGTGAATAATTTATCCATAATTCGCATATACGTAAATATCATCATAAATTATAATACGCGATTGCGGCGATCATGTTATACTCCGGAAAATTTATGATGCGTAAAAAGCGCGTAAATTTAGTAGACAGATATTCGTTGTTAGTGACGCAATGTTTCGCGACTGGGATCGCTATACATTTCCGATAAAGTTGTGAGTCAGACTTTTAAACAAGTATACTCACACCAATGTATATTTCATATTGATCGCGCATTAACGTGTTTTGTTAAATTCCCCAAGATATGCGTGAATCATTATTTTCGCGATAGCATTCTATGTCGGAATAACGGATAAGCGTGATTGAGGTGCGAATTTTTTATTTAGCGCGTAAATGTATCGAATGAAGATTGTGCTCCCCCACAGAGCAATATCAATTTCAATCAATTCGTCCTCGAACGAGATTGCGCGGTAATTTTCGATCATTAACGAGCATTTCCCTCTTGTGGAAATGCGTTCGAAAAGGAGAAGCTCGCAAGCTAAATTTTATATTGCAGAAAAAATATAGAAAAATTAGGTATGTGTGTTAAATAAATATGTATGTATATAAAAATATATAACTTTGTTTTTTTCCGTATTCGGTAAATCTCCTACGTGTTTTTTTATATTTTTTATATGATTTATTTCCTGTTATCGATTTGAATCCAGTTTTTTGGTCTCGTCAAGTTTATAAACATGTGTATTAGTCAAAAACGCGCAATCGATCTACTCGTTTGAACGCAACGACATGTTTCGTCATTCCTGATAAATTTCCGTGATCGCACAGTTGATAAACATTGTAGCATTCTCTCGGCGACCTGTCCGTAGTAAATATTAACATTTCTCATGCGATCAATTCTGTCGATTGAAGGTACATGTATGTATATATGTATATGTATACACGTAATCGTTGAAAGAGATACGTAACGCTCTTTGAAATTCACCATTTTTCTAGATGCCGAATAGAATATGCAATAATGAATATTTACGCACATCATTGGCATTGTAATAAAAATAGAGAAAGAATGCTTCAAAAACCAAGGTCTACAGACAAAACAAGTATTTCGGTATATATAATAGAATTATAAAATTTATTTTAGCAAGTGCTGATAAGACCAAGCTCTAATGTTGAGGTAGATAGAATAATCAAAGAGCCGAGAGAAAAAATGAATTAATTAGATTACATATATATGGTTACAATAAATGTGATTTTCTTTTATTCGGTTCTTTAATTATTCTACCTATTTTAACAATTTTCGAGTTTGGTCTCTCTCTCTCTCTCTCCCTCTTATCAAGCACAATTATATTAATTATACACAAGTAAACTGACAGGCAAAACATTGAAAATTCAATATAAAAGTATACGTGCTTTTTTTAAATAAATAATTTTTATTTAATTAATAGAAGATTAATATAAAATAATATGTATGACAAAAACAAATTAAAATCCACAGACAAATCTAATGTTTTTTTTTTTTTTTTTTTAGTTTGTTTAGCGATCGCGTGTAAGCATGCGTAATTGGAGAAAATAAGAAAATCTGAACGAACGAATCACCCAAGGAGGATTAAAGATAAAGACGCATATGGAAGAAGAGCGTTTCCACACCTCGTCTTTTACACCGATGGAAATGAAGGCAGCTCTCGTGAAATCAGCACAGCAGCGATGCGATCGCATACGTAAGTATATATGATGAGATTTCACGCGTCGATCTTTTTCTCTGCCCCTCCCAAACGAAGGTCTCGGGCTCGCATTAGCTTTTGTAGCACGCGAGTTGCCGGAGAGTCATGCGGGAGGTGCGTGAACAGACCGAGGTCAGATCACGCACTTGCACGTTGTGCGTGGCGCTCATATTATTGTATATATGTATATGTACGATCTCGGCATCCTTCTCGTTTCATTGGCATACGCATTATTGCGTATATATAGCTGCGATATTATCTAATTGGAGGTACATAGTTGTGTTGTATGTAGATCGAAATTAATGCGAAAAAACCTAAGTTTTTCAGTTACAGTCATTTTAGAAGAATATTACAAACAAAATTGTTGCCATTGAAATACATACAAATATAATTCATTTCTGACGTGTGCTAAATTTTCCTTTCCAACAATTGATTGTATTAATTGTAATGCATGTATTACACATATTCGACAATATTTTGTAGCAATAACCCAGGAATATATAAAAATTGCCGGTTCGGTTTCTTTCTACGCATAGCTATACGCAATGTATAATTAGGTACATGTATTATATATAGATATATATATATACACACATATGTATGCAAATTTTAAAATTAGACGCACAAGCTATGTTTCTACTGTTTATATTTCAGATTAAAAGTGAATTTGATAAAAAAAACTGAGGAATGGGGTCGGCTCGCCTAGTGTTTCTTCGAAACAAGATATCGACGCGATCGATGCCGCGGTTAATGACCCAGAAAATGCCAATTTACTTTTTATTCTGCAAATGGTGTTATACATAAACTTATATGAAGGAATGGAACGAGAAAACGATAGTCGGTACGAATTGATATATAATATCTTTATCGCGCAACGATTTGATTAGAAAGAGGACAGTCGAATTTTATAGCTTTGATTTCGTCTGTAACAACATCCGTCACAACGTAAATAGATTCTTTTTCTATTATTCCAGCTTTTTTTCCTTGATTCTCATCATTCCTTCTTTACGCCTTTATCTTGTAACGATTCTTGTTTGGGTTATGGATGCGTCTTTTATCGTTCGTTCGCATAGCGAAAAAAAAATCAAAAGAGATAAAAGATAACGAATGTTGCATGGCGACAATATATTGCGCTCGATATCTCGCTCTCTAAACCCATTTCTCCGAATCGCGATTACGGTTAGATTTGATAAGACTCGTAAATTGCGTTCCTAGTCGATCTTACTAATCGCCATGCCAAATATATATTTGAGAAGCGCGTACGGACGGATATGGAGATTATCTTTCCGAGAGTAAAAGGTGAGAGGGGGGGGGGGGGGGGGGATTTAGAAATACATATATGCGTGCGCTTCCATCTCTTTTAAATATAATTCCGTTAAATATCGATATGGAAATTAGTTTTTTTATATAAACTTTTAGCAGGTAACAAATTTTCGTCTTTCTTTGATTAGAACATTTCGAATCTGATGATAAGCTATTGTTATATAAAAGTATATTTATATAAAATTTATATTCTCATTAAAATAATTTTTTAGAAACACACGATGCGATGACATTATTGCCCGCTAATTGATCACCTTTCGTTTGGCATTCACTGCTTGAATGACGTTGACACCAATAATAGACAACGTGCTTTAGAGATGCAGTGTCATTTGATGCGTGACACGAAAGTGCACGATCGGGCAAAATGCAATGGTATATGCTTATATATTAAAAAGATACGTCGCTATATTCTTCCATTTAAATATTTTCGATTTTGTTGCGCTAAACCTTGACATGCAAACTCGTGAGTGACTCGACTCTCTTTTTTTTTAACCGAATATTATAGAATATTTTTTTTTTCCCGGAAATTAAATTTCTCGATAATTACATTAATGAAAATGATCTACGCATTAAGCAGTTGCGGGCAGACCTTGCGCTCGTGTTTGATCAAGCCCAACTAAAAGATTAAAAACGCAAGCTCAGATTTTGTAATTTAATTAACAGTAATTTTGTAGACAAAGTCCCTCTTTATCAATTGCATATATATATATATATATATATAGGTATATCTGCTATTTAGATATACATATACGATTATGCGCGACGCGATTTAATGCTATTGTATGAGAGCGTGAATGTGCGATTTATCATTGAAGGCGATAGATGCGTGCGAAGTAACGCGAGATGCGGGTAATTAGTATCTCGTGACACGCGCGTGTCTCAATGTGATTACTTGCAGGTTTAATAGAGGCGCGATCTCAGGAGATTTCGAAATATATATATCGTACTATATACACGCGGCGTAGCAAAAATATACACCGATAAAGCGTAGTGCGTCTTAAAAAGTTAAAATTATCTATTTAATTAGCTCAATATGATGAAATATCATTAATGAGTTATTTGCGCTTAATTTAAGTCTCTCACGATATCGTAAAGAATTAATAATACATAAACAACTAGATTTTAATTTTAAATATTAAATTGAATCAGTTTACAAAAATTTCGTACTTTAACAAAGATGAACCGACTTTTATTATTATTACATTTTGTACCATAGTTACAATTACATTCAATCGTTATATTAAAATTTCCGTATAATTGCACATAATACGATATACTTAAAAAAAAAACATGCTCGTGTTTGCATCTCCCTCTCAGTGTAATTCACCTTTTATTAATTTTCCGCAGATTGTTCGCGTATCGAGCTTACTTGCATAACCGCTTGTTAAATCACGCGCTCGTTATGGAACCATTTCACACGTGTCTACGGTTTTTTAGCGTTATACCGCAGAATAGCAATGCCGCTTCTTGCAATAGATCGTTACACGTTACAAGAGAGCGTAACAACTTTTAATGGGAAACATATTTTCTATTATTGGAATATGTTTCGATATTTTAGCATCATTTGTTTTACTAAATTTCGTTCAATAGTAAATGAGAATAATTTGATTAAAATAGCAGAATATATGAAGCTTTTAATGTTTTAATGCATGAAAAATAACAAGCATATGGAATATCAATGGGAAGGAGAAAGAGGAGAGGAACGGTGGATGAATGTGAAATAATGAGAGAGAGAGAGAGAAAGAGAGGGTTATATGCGGCTTTAATAAAATTGCGCGAGTTTTAATGGATTCTTGCGTTTGATATTCAATAATTCATCGAACAAAAAGTCACACTAAACTATTTCATCTCTCTGGGGACAATAAAAACGATGGTGCGAATTTCTCTTTAATTTATAACACCATACTCATATATCGCACATTTCACGGCGCGATCATTTCATTCGCCGACTAGAGGCCTCGGGCCACCCTCGCCTCTTGAGACCCTCTTCGTGAAAGAAAGTGTTCCTGCCGCGAGATCGAGGTCGAGACTTCGTCTCGATACGCTCTTTTATGACCTCGCTTGGACTCCCGCTGCTCTCTTCTTCCCAAGGCATCATATCGGCCGGCAGAAAAAAAAACGAGGGGAACAGGCCACACCAGACGGTCTCTTCCGAAATTATACAAGGTCGTTCAAGATTTTTTGCGCGAGAACCGGAAGTTGCCGTAATATAATTTTCACCTTTAGAATAAAGTAATTTGGAAAAAAAAATTTCCAATAGCGTCCATATATTTCAAGCACGGTCAATTTTCTATAATTCTGTATGATAAGCTTATTAAATTGGCGAAATACGACGCGTGTATTTAATTGAATGCATGATGTAAGATTTGTCAGCTTGCAATGCGATACGTCAAGAGGGTCATCGATGTTGATTACGGAAAGAAAGGAATGTTTTAATTGTGTAAATATAAGGGGAAACAAGGCTGTTATCAGAGTAGAAAATAAACAGGAAACTAATCGGCATGGATAGTATTACTGCATGCGTTACATTGTTTTATATTTGATCACTTGAGTGTGTAATGGATGACCGGTTGGTCGTGTTGGGTCACGTATGTGGCCTCTATGCGAGATTGCGAGCTGAAAAAGCAAATCGAGCGAAACGACGAAAGCACGGGGAAAATCCGAGGTTCAAGATTAATCGCGATAGCGCTAATTAACGATTAACCGGCCGCGCATATAAATCTCTTATACGCCGCGCTAAAAGCGCTGCAAATGCAACTACCGTAAATTTTCAATGAACTTTAACGCGTCACGTAGATATAATATCCGATAATTGCTAAGTCGAGTAGTTGCTAAACATTTTATCTATGGCTTATATATGACAGCATATATATTTCTGCGAATAGAAAAAAATTCGTAGCTATCTCATAGTTTTCTCCCTCTCTTTTTTTTTTTCTTTCTCTTTCCAAGAAATACCTCTTTTTCTAAGTGAAGTATTTTTAATGTATACGTTACAATACATACGCAACACACGTTATATTCATTCGCGCAATTAATCTCAAGCGACATTTTTGTATATTAATTTACTGCACATAATTAACTGTTAAGTTCTCTATCCTGAAAATTTTATAATTTACAAACGATGTGTTATAGAATATTTTTTTTTTTCCCGGAAATTAAATTTCTCGATAATTACATTAATGACGCAATGTTTAGAACTAGGGTTGTGCGGAGTTTATTTGACGGAACTGTCACACGGATTTGCATTATCGACGCGATATATTATATTTACGTATAACACGATGCCGACTTTTTTCGATATTCTCACAGATTAATTACAGATCAATTGTTGATCAATTGTTTCTATTTGCAACGATCTCTGTTTACGATTTAAGACTGGTTTCGGTAACTACGCAGATTCAAAGTTGTGACGGTTTGTCATAAATAAACACATGTAAGAAAATATTTAGTTTAACGCAAACGCGGTTAGCACATTTAGCATGTTTACTGCGTAAATTTCGTTGTAGTTTTTCCTATACGTATCCGTGATGTATATATGCATGCGTGTGTTTGTGTGCGTGCGCGTGCGCGCGTATGTATATAGGAAATGCAAGGTTCTATTACGAGTGCGCGACCTCGTTTCTTCAATAACACGACAAACATACAGATAAATTGTCACGTTACTACAGCAGTTATGACTCTCGATGATCTCGTTTGCAACCCTTTTTGATAAAACTCTAAAAAAGAATCCAACAAACTTGACTATATTGTCGAGATTATGATTCTAAGAGTAAAGATTTCGGCTGTCGTTTATTCTTTATTAAAAAGTTATTAACAAATAAACTTGACGATGCACACAGGTGGTAAATGTGATAATTTGATTTTTCCCAAGTCTGATTCTTACATTTTTGTTTTGATTTTTATCAAAGTATAAATATAATTCATTGTGTGTTACATTTTCAGTCGGTCTTATCGACTTGAGTGATAATATTACATGCAATAATAAAGAGGCATCCTTTCATAACAATATTATGAAATTTTTATGAAAAGAGTGTTATTGATAAAAAAATAGTTTATTTAAGGTGCTAAAATTTGTTAGCATTAATAAATCTACATCATAGTTATACTTTTTGTTGTACGAAAAAAATACTTTAAAATCTTCAGATCAATCAAAAGTGTAATTTTGCTAATGCATGTCTTTAAATGTACAAATAATATGCACATGTATAACATAAAATTTATGCTCCATAAAACTCAGATTATATGCAATTCAATACTTATTTGTACGCTTTACTTTATTTATTAATAATTCTTTAATAAACAATAAGAGCGACGGCTAAAACATTTTGAAAATTATTTAGTATCATACTTTTGAAAACTTATGTCAAAGTCCTTAGAATGGAGTTCTCTTTTTTAAAGTTTTACTCTTTTTCTTTGCGATGCGGATGACAATCATTTGACGGGAATAACAAAGCGAAATGTGATGTCAGTAACAGAGCCGTTTATCAATTATGATACAAGTTTATTGAATCACTGCTTGCGCGAATTAACAATGACAATAGGTCTCCTTTCCAACAGTTTCTGTGTGTGTGTGTCTCTGTGTGTGTGTGTATGTGTTTATGTGTGTGGCGCGCGCATGTCTATGTATGTCGCATGTTTTCCAAGGTACCAAAATTTCTTTCACATCCATCTTTTCGTTTTAAATATTCGCAAATCTTTGATATAATGATGATACGGTGATAACAATATAATGGTAATAATAATAGTAATTTAAATAATTAATAATAATAGCAGTAGAGTAGTAGTAATAATAGTAATAATAATAGTAGCAGTAGTACAATATAGTAATAATAATAATAATAATAATAATAATAATAATAATATATAATAATTACGGGGTGGAGGGAATATGCGCGCCAACTGCGATATTATATTAAGAGATAACAAGAGTAAAATATACATGTGATCTCTCACATATGTATACAATGTATATACACATTATGACATGGCATTATATATTGCTTTATTTATCAATCTCTTCATTTGATAATTAAAGCTATACAAATCAAATTTTCCTTGCCCAATGATGGAATTTTGATGACAAAAATGACTTTCCGCATCTCTTCAATTTTTATTATAATCTCTTTCTATCCTTGTTGATGCTCTGCCAATAATATTACGAATAATTTTCTGTGGCTTTTCTTTGGGATTAATTAATTAATCGTATATATGCACACAAAACGTGTGACCCCGTAACGGCGAATGTGCGTATATAATAATAACTATAGTATCTCTATATGCGAATGCACCTCGTGACAGAATGTCACGTTGGTCCTTCTCTTAAGCCGGAACATTCAACATATTTCTTCTTCCGGCTTCTTCTTCTATATGACCTCGTCCTTTTTAAAGTTAGGATACTCGTTTTTAATTAAGCTGGGTTTACACGTGACATTTTTGACACTCCTTTCACAAGTTTAACATCCTTTTATTGTATCGTATGATATCGGAGAGAGAAATTCTTCGACATATAAATTACAATTTTTTTCGTGTTACTATCAAGTTATAGAATAAATGCCAGACGTGTAAAGTCAATATTACAAATCTGGCCTATAAACAAGTTTGTCCGATTTGTTCAGAAAAAAAACTGTATGCCTCGATGACAAAGAATAATGGTTTTTTTATGCTTTTCGCATTTTCAATATAGATAGCGTCAAAAATATCTATACCTCGATCGAATGTTTTATGTTATTTTTGAGTCATTTTGCGTTACGTGCTCGCGCTCAAACCAGGATTTTTAGATTTAGAGTATAATTGAAAGCGAATTTATTTTGGCTATATTGCCAATTATATTTATTTCCGCGGAAGTATTAGCTCTGTCATTGGCACTGTCAGAAAGCACATTATATATATATATATATATATATATATAAGAAGCTTAGTTTTGCCATGTAAAAAGAGCAAGAACCTTCGAGCGGAAAGGTGATTTGGATTCTTGATACTTTATGCTTCTCGGGCAAATTTGCATCGAGAGCGCGAGAACGGTATCGCGTAGAATGGACAAACTTTGCGCAATCGACGCTCTTGCACTATTATTTACAAATTTATTTAAAGATATGACACACTATGCCCCCGAGGCTAGAAAACTATGGTCGCTCGAGCGCAGAAAGGCCGATCATCAATTTCGTTGCGAAATCATGGAAGAGGAAATGCAAGAATTATCTTGCATTTCCATATTTTCGCAAAGTACGAGATAAAGGAGACTGCAAATATCTCGTAACGCAAAAAGCATTTGCACAATTTAATTTTCACTAGTCTCGCGAATATTATACAATACAGTCACGGATCTTTTTCCAAGATGTCTACGAGATCTCGTCGTAAGCAAAATCGTATTTAATTCGCAATTTTGATATCTGAGAGATATTTCTATAAGAGTCGTGATTTATATATATCGAGAGATTGCGATTTTGCGTCTCGATGAATAATGTTATCGTAACTCTGGTAATTCTATGTACACAACTCGATTGTCGATATGAATCATCCGCGTTTCAACGTTAATATCTTTCTTAAACGCAAAATGTAAAGAAAAGAAAATAGGAAAAAAATATTAATCTTTTGCGTCCACGCTTCGGAACGTATGATCTTGGATCTCTCACCTTATTGTTAGATTTACATATATGTATTTTACTAGCCGCTCGTTGGAGAAAATTAAGGCGAGAAACGGTATGATGAAAAATTCAAATCAAGCCGTTGCGATATCTAACAATATTAATTGTAACTATGTATATTATATATACATATGTATTTTCGCGAAGTTCGCGTACAAGTTAGAAGAGTAATCTCTTTCTATCTTATGATAACTTTATACAAATTTACGTAATTTATTGCAATCGTACATTGTGCGATGCACGTAATAAATGCTCGAATACGCATTAACGAATCTATTCTTTATATCGTGTGCGGCATCATGGCTATAATTACGATCGTTGCTAAAATACAATTGCTATATATAAGTACGAATTCTTTAGTTTTAACGCTGCTTCTCAAATCGAATAGTAATATTTAAGAATAAACGAGAGAGAGGGAACGGTCGGCATCCTCAGACAAGTGGCTAACTTGTTGAAAAATTGATCGAGTACAATTCAATCGTCACTATTACTGCGCTCGAGCCGATCGTCGAAAAAGAAAAGATTACGAAGAAAGATTTGCGTATGTGCGCGTAACGCATCGATCCGCCCAAAGTAGAATTTAGTCTACTTTACTTACAAGTAGTACAAGTAGTTATTAAAGTATTTGGTGTAAAAATATAGGGTATGCAATACGCGGACGTTGTGGGAATGCGCGAGATTTGCGCAATCAGTTTCCAAAGAATGATTTTTGTTGTTGTCGATGTCTCCTTCCCGCGGAGATTACAACAAACAACGCTCCAAAATTTCATTGTTTTCTTCAAAAATTTTCCTTTTCCCTGAATAACGTGCTAATTAAAAAGGATTTATGCGCCAAATTTACAAACCGGGAAAAAGCTTTATCACAAGCAGAACATTAAATTCTATTTCCCCGGTGTATGTTAGTTTTCGAAAATGCATTGTCATTTAAACTCTCCTTAAACTACTCTTGCATTTTACTTATATTTTTTTTTGACGCGTTTAAGCCCTTTTTACTTTACAAAATTTGAAGCTGGATCTATCGTAGGTCCCCGCGTGATATCTCAGAAGGATGCTCTCGTTGCTCTCTTTGTTTTTCGTCTAATTAGCAATCGTTCGAAATTTGAATGTGTTCGCCTTAAAAATCCTCGCTGAAGTGATTCTCCGTGAGTTTTCCGTTCGTATCGATCGATTCAAATCCCTTCCTTTTCGCAAAATGCTCGCGACGCGCAAGCGACCGAGCAAGTCGCTCATAAAATTCGTTTCCAGCGATTTTTGGTGCGGCCATATCCTCCGTTTCGTTTTCTGTCGAAATTCTGGCTCGGTGACGATCCAAGACGTCGCGATGTCGCCGGGTTTCAGGTCACGTCTACCACGAATCCGTGAACCCGATCGTCGGCTGGCTGCTACGTCAGCAGTTTGAAGAACATCAAGGCTAAGGATATGTTGATAAAGAGCACCAGCATCACGAGTTGTTGTCGAGAGAACCAGTCCTGAAAGTACGAAGCAATTATATTACCTAAATGTTTTTTTTTTTTACTGATTACACCTCGTTAATCTTTGCTGTCAGAATTTGGCGAGGATGATTCATATCGATCATTTATAAACAAAATTACATTTGCAATTGCGTATAACATAATGCGATTGCTCATTGTTTCGTCTCATCGTATTTTAATTACAATAATATCATTTTATTCTCACGTTTTCCAAACGATCGCTGCAACCGACGCCACATCTTTGTCAATATAAACAATTTCGACAGTCGTAAACTCGAAAAATACTCACTTTAACCTGAGGACTGACTAGATATAAAAACGGATTCGCTCTGAGCCTCTCACTTTCGTCGATCTGTCTGCGGATCTCCTCTCTTCTTAAGCTGCTCAAGATACTGACTTCTTCTCTCGACAGCGGCGCCGTGGCTGTGAGCTGGATCGGCTGCGCCACGTCCGGCAGTGATTTTTTTCGTTGAAGGGGCATTGCCGGTGTCGGCATCGCCTGCACAAAGGAAATAAACGAAAAACAAAGAGAGAGAGAGAGAGAGAGAAAAGAAAGAGAGAGAGAGAGAAAAGAAAGAGAGAGAGAGAGAGAAAAGAGAGAGGAGTTTTGAACAATGAGAGCGATTACTTATCGATACTATATACTATTGATATACTACATGTATCATAAGGATAGACAGAGAAAAAAAAATAGAATTGTGTAATCTCTCAGGCAATAGAGAGATAATTATACATTACTACATATTTAATAGGAGGGGGGGGG